CAGACAGACAGGAAGTCAGACAGACAGGAAGTCAGACTTGTTGGAGCAGTGGAGACGTTAAACATAAATAAATGTAATAATTAAAATGATGTGACAGTAAATATAATTGAAGGTTGAACCAGTCGTTTTTTGACAGAGTAAAGATGTAGTTTAAAAAAACTGTGTCTGCAGCAGGTGACGGTGCTGAGAGACCGGTCCGTCTCCTCTCTGTCTCCGTCTCTGTCTCTGTCTCTGGGGTCTGTAAGGTGTGGAGGATCATTCATCTCCTTGACGATTCCCAACCAGCTCCTAATTGGACCATTAACCAACCACTGTTTTTTTAAACAAATACACCAGCAGGGGTCACTGAATACACCGTACTGTCTGATCCCATGGAGACTGTACATCATCTATATATATATGTGGAAAACATGTGGTGCGTTTCTTAGACTAGTAGCAGAACAATCTATGTTGACGACAGAACAGGAATTTCAGTGTCGTAGAGTTGGCTGAGTGAAGATTTGAAGTTTCCAATTTGATTTTTAATTTTGTTGTACAGTAACAGGAAACAATAATGATGATGATGATATTAAGACGCATGAAAATATTAGATAAATCAAAAACTATACAATAAAAATGTTGATGCAGCTCTGGGTTTCTAACACACACACACACACATATACCATAGTATCAGTATTTTTGGTTTTAGTACTTTGTATATTTAACTAAAACAATCACATTAGACCTGTTCCAGTTCAGTGTTGTATATATATATAAATATATGTGATTATAGAAGAGTGAACGTCCAGTGAATGAAATGTCTGCTGGGATCGAACCTCCTCCTCCTCCTGCTCCTCCTGGCTGAGCTGTATTTTCTCTCTTTCCTCTCTGTCCTTCTATTCTCTCTGTTGCATCTTAATCAGCGAAAGAAAAAAACCTGAGGAGACTGAGGCCAGTGGAGAGAAGACTCTGATAAGATGTCTATTGATTGGAGGCAGAGAGAGTGTGATGGTGAGAGTGCCCGGAGAAGGCACCGCTCTATCAGGGCCACTTTGAAGAGACATGAGTGGTGGAGACAGAGGACACTCACACGGTGGACACTCACGGAGACACAGCATGTGTCTGTTTATTGCTTCACTTCAACTGGAATTAGGTTGACTCTTCTTTTTTTTTTCTCTGCCTCCAATCAATAACCTCCATTTGAATGTAATTGATGATGATTTGTCACCGGTTATCCAGGAATACTACAGTAACACTTTTATTACATGAATACTTCAAATACTCTTCTGTTCTGACCAAAACAACAAAACAACAAAAATGAAAACTAAAACTCATTCAGTTATAATGTGAGTTAACTGGCCAAAAAAAACCAACCAAAAACCGATGTAATTGACTCCATTTGAAGACCATGTGCCACAGTCACCTGTAGAGAGTCATTCAGCTTCTGTGAGATCTCCTGGTTCTAGAACCGCCCACACTTTTCTCTAAAAGTCTCTAAAAGCCTTTCAGTTTTAAATAAACCCAGACATTTATTTTTGATTCCAGTGAAGTGGAAACCAAACCAGAGGAAGTCTGAACTGTGCCGACGCCAAACGAACGAAACAAATTAAACCTTGGTTATTGTTGCTGCCGACTCATCGTGAAGAGACGATCTTTACTGACACGACACAAGTGGCAAAATTCTAAATTCAAATGTAAGGTCGGATATTTTTACTTTAAATGTGCGGTAAATATGGACTGTGTGTTATTTTGATATGAACTGCCTGGTGTTGGTGAATATAAATCAAACCTGAAACTAATGCAGCCTTTTTTCTAGCGCTGCAGCATAAAACACCTACTTCCTGAACATCAGCAGGTTAATGTGCAGCCTTTTTTCTCTCGGCTCCGCTAACTCTCGGCTCTGCTCTGTTCTTCAGCTTTAATTCTTCTTTACTCACCTCCTCTCCTTTTTTTTTTTTTTTTTTTGTCATCCGTCCACTGTCTTTATTATTCCAACCAGTTCCTTCTCTTCCTATCAGTCATCTGTCCTTTCATCCAGGGTTGAACCTTCTCCGTCTGTCGTCTGTTCTCACAGCCTCACTTTTCCTTCTCTCCCCTCATTTGCCCCCTCCTTCACCATCATCAGGAGTCTTACTTTGTCTCCACAGTAGGAGTTTGAGCTTCGTCAATGTAAGGCAATTAAAGTAACAACAGATTGGAACAGACTGTCAGGAATGCAGAGTGGATTGTGGGAGGGCGTGCAGCCGCGCTGGGCCGAGCTGCTGACAGATTGTACGAATCAGAGAGGGCCCAGAGTGACGGATGGAGCGGAGTCTGGCACGCACGCACGTGTGTGTGTGTGTGTGTGTGTGTGTCACGTTGCCTTCCTCTCTCACAACACAAT